CACCCAATATAGGAACACGTAAATATATAAAACAAATACTAACAGACAAAAAGGGAGAAATTGATGGGAACACAATAATAGGAGGAGACTTTAACACTCCACTAACATCACTAGATAGATATTCCAGACAGAAAATCAACAAGGCAATGGAGATAATAAATGACACAACAGAATAGTAACACTTAGTTGATATTTTTAGGACATTACATCCTCCCAAAACAGAATTTACATTTTTTTACATGCACATGGAACATCTAGGGTATACCACAGACGTAGACACAAAAGAAGTCTCAACAAATTTAAGAGGACAGAAATTATTTCAAGCATCTTCTCTGACCACAGTGGCATGAAACTATGGGGGGGGGGGGAGGAAATGAGAAAAAAATGCCAGACAGCAAGGAGATTAAATAACACGCTACTTAAAAACCAAAGGGTCAACAATGAAATCAAAGAATAAATTTAAAAACAGCATGAGACAAATGTCAATGAAAACACAACCACACAAAACTTATAGGATGCAGCTAAAGCAGTCCTAAAAGGGAAGTTCACAGCAAAACAGGCTTTCCTTAAAAAAATAAGAACAATCTCAAATAAACAGCCTAATCTACCACCCAAAATAACTTGAAAAAGAACAAAGAAAGCCTAAAGTTAGCAGAAGGAAAGAAACAATAAAGATTACAGAGGAAATAAAAGAGATTTTAAAAAACAATAGAAAAAAGTCAAACTAAGAGCTGGTTTTATGAAAGAGTAAACAAAATCGACAAATCTCCGGCCAGGCTCACCAAGAAGAAAAGAAAACACACAAAATAAGAAAGGAAAATGGAGAAATTACAACCAACACCACAAAAATACAAAAAACCATAAGAGAATACTATGAACAACTATATGGCAACAAATTGGACAACCCAGAAGAAATGGACAAGTGTCTAGAAACAGATGGTCCACCAAAACTGAATCAAGAAGAAATAGGTAATTAGAACAGACTGATCACTAGAAATGAAATAGAATCAGCAATGAAAAACCTCCCTGCAAACAAAAGTCCAGGACCAGATGATGGTTTCCCTGGGGAATTCTACCAAACAAAAAAGAACTCAGAATGATCCTTCTCAAATGCTTCCAAAAGACTGAAGAGGAGGGAACACTCCCAAACTTATACTATGAAGCCACTATCACCCTGATACCAAAACCAGACAAAAACACTATCAAAAAAGAAAATTACAGGCCAAAATCACTGATGAACACAGATGCAAAAATTCTCAACAAAATACTAGCAAACAGACTCAAACAACACATAGAAAAGATCATACACTATGATCAAGTTGGATTCATCCCAGGGACACAAGGATGGTTCAACATACAGGAGTCAATCAATGTGATACACCACATTAACAAAAGAAAGGACAAAAATCACATTATTATCTCAATAGATGCAGGAAAAGCATATGTTAAAATTGAACACCCATTTATGATAAAAACTCTTA